ATAAAAGATCCTTCATGAATTTAGCATAATTTGGCATATTGACCAAAGCTTCAACAAATGGAATATTAATATGAAGCTTTTTGAAAATATCCAAGAACCTTTCATAATGCTTCTTCTGAATTTCCTGTTTGAATCTTTCAGGATACGGTGCCATAGCCCTCACATATTCGGGACTCAATTCATGCTTCTTCTTTTCCACTGGCTTCACCACTTCAGCAGGTTTTTCAATTTCTTTTTCTTTTTCTGGCTCACCTGTAGTGTCTAGCTTTTCTTTAACCTCAGGAGATGGAAGTATTTTTCCACTTCTAATTGTGATGGCCATACAATCTTCCCTCGGATTGGTGACTGTGTTACTAGGGAAAGTTCCTGGAGTTCTATCAGCAACTCTCTTAGCCAGCTGGCCAATTTGATTCTCCAAATTCCTGATAGAAGCACTCATGTTTTTAGTATTGGCCCTAGTCTCTTCCATGAAGGCATTGGAGTGTTGAGCCATTTGTCCCACTAGCCTCTCCAAATCAGAAGGTTCATTGGTTTGGACTGGTGGAGGCTGCAAGTAGTTGTTTGAATTGTGATCAAGGCTTGTGCCTTGGATCTTCCGTTGATAATTATTTCCTCCAGGAGCAAAATTCTGACCTCTTTGAACATTTTGTTGTTGAGGTCTTTGATCATGCCAGATGCTATTCACTTGTACTTGCTGAGGTGAATCAGAAGGCATCTCAGGATATTCATTAGACTCATGATTGCCCTGGCAATGTTCACACACAACAGCAGCTTTAGTCTGAACACTAGAAAGCTGCATCTTGTCAAGCCTTGAGGTCATGTTTGCTACCTGCTGAGATAGCAAACTATTTTCAGCCAGCACTATATTATTACCTTCCAGTTTAAGGATACCTCTCTTAGGTTTGGATGACAGCACTTCATTTTCATTGGCAGCCATCCTCTCAATCAACTCAAGAGTCTCATTTTCTCTCAAAGTTTTAATAGTGCCACCCGCTGCACCATTCAACACCATCTGAATCTCAGGTTTACAACCATCGAAGAAGATTCTAACCTGATTACCAGCAGTCAAGTTATACTGAGGACACCTCCTCAATAAATCCTTGAATCTGTTCAATGCTCCACACATAGTTTCACCCTGTAGCTGGGTGAAATTGGAGATATCATTCACCATCTGGTTGTACCTTTCCATCGAGAAGAACTCAGCAAAGAACTTCTGAGACATATCATCCCATGTAGAAATACTTGTTGCAGGCTGCCTCTCCAACCATCTAAGACCTTTTCCCTTAAGAGCAAAAGGGAACAACCTTAACCGAATTGCATCATTAGAAACTTGAGGATGTTTGGTGGAGTCACAGATCCTCAAGAATCTGTCAATAAATCTGTGAGGGTCTTCACTCTCCCCTCCTCCAAACTGGTCTCTCTCCACTAAATTGAAATGAGAGGAGTTGAGCTCCCAATTGTGGGCAACATTCGGCTGAACAATGCTCGCATTGGGCCTGTTGAATAATGGAGTGAGGATGGTGTCCATGAGCGGATTGTCTTCTTCATTGTTCCCTGCCATCTTGTGCGCTTCTTCAAACAGATTTTTTAGCTCGTTGAAAGCAAGCTTCTTCTGAGCAAATTTTTTTTTTTGTTCCTCTTTTCTGTTTTTGTAATCTCCAAATCAAGTGGAAATTCTGGCTCTTTACCTCGCATACAACTCAGAAAAGATATTAGTAGCATTGTTCAAGAAACACAAAGAAATCAAAAAGTAAAAATAAAATACAAATCCAATCTTAAAAATCAAAATTACTTGATATAAGAAACGTCAATCCCCGGCAACGGCGCCAAAAACTTAATGCTCACCGGCAAGTGTACCGATCGCACAAGTAATATAATGATAAGTAGAGTATCGTCTCCACAGGGATTGGGTCAAATATCAATTAATTGTTCCTTTTAAGAATGGAAGAGTTCAAAGGTTGTGACAAATACTGTCGATTGGTTTGAAATTGAGAATTGAAATTAAAGACTTATTTTTGTAATTTTTGTTTATGAGAAATAGACAATAAAAATAAGAATTGATTTTTCTAAATGTATGAAAAGCATTATAGCTAGAGCGCACTCACCTTATGATCCTCACTTCTTATTTTGGATTGACTTACAATATTCATTTATAAAATTACTCGGCTAAATTATGATCTAAAATAATTAGTTAAATCTCAATCCCTTGGCAATTTAACCCTTTAATCTCAATTGGAATCCTAATCCCTTAGAAACCCCTCATGAAAATTAAGCAATGAACTCAATAATTTAGGCATCTGCAATTCAATACACATCTATTCCTAGCATGCATACGAACCGTTATCCTACCCCCTTTCAGGATGAAAACCCCAATATTCCTATCTAGGGTTCTAACCCTCAAACTATCCTCAACTATTAGAGTGATCAATTCTAATAAAGAAAATATAAATTACGAACAGGGTAGAGATAAAGATAATTATATAAACGAAGAATTATAAATCAATCCAGCGTAAAAAGGGTTCACATAGGGCTCGAGACCCTAACTACAATAAAAAGTAAAACTAGCCAAACATAATCATGGCTAAAAATTCAATATTCAATAAAAGCATAAAGTAAAAGAGAAGAAGAAGATCAAGAATTTCTCTTTGGAGCTCTCCTTCTGATGCACGACGGTCTCCTTAGGTCAAGAATACCTAATTCTGTGTTGAGCCTCTTTTTTATAATCTTCTTTTTCATCTTCCAAAACTACCCTTTAGGAAGCACGATCTGTGATTTCGCAATCTGGCGCTCTTAGCGTCAGATCCACGCCAAGAGCGTGGATGCCTCTGAATGCTGACGCCACTAGCGTGGGAGCAATAATGGTTTCACGCCATCAGCGTGAGTTCTATGCTATTAGCGTGGAGGTTTCTGATTCTTCACGCCATCAGCGTGACATCCACGCTATGAGCGTGGATCTTCATTTTGGCAAATCTCCATTTGGCTCCAGTTTTGTCTGTTTTTCCTACAAAATTAGAAGGAAATCAGTTGCACAATCCTTGATTGAGATTTATCAAATTAATAGTAATTCTAGCTCTTTTTCTCCAAGATTAATCAATATTTCTTTCTCATTTTGGCTAAAAATCATATATATACTAGAGGCGTATCAGAAACCAAAATGGAAACAAATCAAAACTGATTTAAAGGAAGTCATGGAGGATTGAAGTAGGATTTTAACAAGATTCAGAGCTCAAATCTATCAACCAATCTACAAGATTTTAATTACAAAAGGAAGCAATTGAAGAATCAATTACAAATCTGATAAGGATTCGTTGAGAGATACAATGAAGATACAACTCCAATGGCTATAAATAAAGAGCTTGGGAGCAGAACAAAACACCAATTCACAAGTCCAGAGCATTACACCAAGACGGAATGAGGAATCCTGTTGCGAAGCGCTGGAACACTGAGGAACCAAGTCAACATCACATCAATGGAGGCTTGGGGTTCTCTTTTCTTTACTATTGTTTTTCAATTCAGAATGCTAGAGTAGTCTTTTATGTAGTTAAGGGTAGATGGAACCCAATTGAATCTTTATGTTTATGAATTAAATTGTCTCTGAATTCTGTTCTTTTTATAATTGAATAAATTATCTGTCTTTATTGCTTTCTATGAGTTTGCTCCTTATAGAATGATTTTGGGGAATTGTATGACAATAGGGATGTTGGTGCATGAACCCTGATTTGATAAATTTATCACCATCCTTGTGATATAGGGATAGACATAGGGTAATTGTGCAATCTTGGAATTCTTGATCTTAATGCATGTTTTCTTGGGGAATAATCTTTGAAGATTACATAGATTTATGGTAACAAGGAATTGAGCCGTAATTAACTTAGAAAGAATTGATTGGCAATATATTAAGAAACAGATTCTTGACTGTTTAATTCATAACATATTGAGGATATTGGGGGAAGTCGAAACCTTAACTACGCTTGTTTTACATTTTTAATCAATCATCATCTTTTTCAATTGTCTTTTTAATTCTGAAATTTCTTTAATTGCATCTAATTTCTTGTCTTTAATTTTTAAGTTCTTCAATTACAATTCTCTTCATCTAAATTCTTGATTGTCCAACTAAGACGCAATTAGCGAACTAGTGCTTGAAGTTTCTGATCCTCGTGGGAACGATCTCGTACTCCGGTACACTTTATTACTTTACGACCGATGCACTTGCCGAGTCGCAACAAGTTTTTGGTGCCGTTGGCGGGGATCGAATTCTTCAACAGTAGAAGTAACTAATTAACTTTTAGATTGGACGTTTTAATTTTCTGCACTTTTTACATTCTTCAAAAATATTTTTCTGCATTAAAATTCTGCATCAATTTTCTGCATATTTATTTTTCTGCATTATTTGTTTATTTTTATTTTTGTCATTTTTCTGTTGTTCTGTTTTGTCTTTTTCTATTTTCTGCTCATCTTTTCAATCTTAAGTTTATGCGAGGTACTCTTAACCCGTGAATCTTGCAGTTTGATCCTGAGATAGAAAAGACAGAAAGGAAACTTAGAAAGGACGCAAAAGCAAAGAAAACGAAAGAAGCAAAAGAAACATCAAGTTCGACGGAACCAATGGAGGAACCGATGGCATAAAACAATCAACTCGCTCCAAGGACCTTGGGGGTTATCTGACTCCAGCCCGAGTTCCACAGACGGCAAGCATTGTTAGACCAATCATAGAAGCTAACAACTTTGAGCTAAAGTCGGCGCTACTACAACTGATTCAAAAAGATTAGTTCGCTGGAGGAAGCACAGAGAACCCCTATAGTCATCTTGATGATTTCTTACTTTACTGTGATACATTAAAAGTAAATGGAGTTTCTCGTGACGCTATCTTACTCAGATTATTTCCATGCTCACTGAAGGATGATGCAAGAACTTGGCTGAAGTCTCAACCTGAAGGAAGCATAACCAGTTGGGATGACTTAGCAAGGAAATTCCTGGCCAGATTTTTCTCAGCTTCAAAGATGGCAAGACTCAAAGCAAAAATCACCGCTTTTGAACAAAAAGAAAGCGAATCTCTGTACGAGGCTTGGGAACAATTCAAAGGATCACTCAGAAAGTGTCCTCAACATGGAATTGAAGCATGGGAGAAAGCAAGAATCTTTTTCCAAGGGATGACGTCCAGCACAAGAACACTGGTAAATGCTGCTGCAGGAGGCTCCTTGAAAACAAAAATTGCACAGGAAGCGCTAGAATTGTTGGAATCCTTAGCATCTCAAGAATTTGACAATGCTCCTGTCCCAGTTGCACCAAGAAGAGCAGGAATTATGAAGCTTGAAGGCTATGATGCACTCTTAGCCCAAAATGAACAATTGCTACAAATACACAAGAAACAACAAGAACTATTAGATGCTCTTAATAAAAAATTTAATATTTCTCAAGTTTCTTCTGTTAATAATTCTAATATTAAATGTGGTATTTGTGCAGAAGCTCATGCTACTGAAGACTGCGACTTCATGAGAGCACCTGAAACTGCTGAAGTAAACGAACTCTGGTATGATCAGAAGAACCAAAAAGATCTAGGAAGGAACCAGTATGGGAATGACTATAATCAAGGGTGGAAGAATCAGAATCAACATCCAGGTTTGAGTCACAAATCCAACCATCAGCTCAATCCTCCCCTTCCAGTGCAACCACATACCCCATAACAAAGTAACACTTCTGAGTGGGAGAAAGCTTTTGCACAGCTATGCAAGACCACTTCTAATTATATTCAAGGTGCAAATGCTTTCAGAGAGGACACATCTGTTTTCATGCAAGAGACTAGAGCAGCACACCGGAATCAAGAAGCTTCCATAAGAAATCTGGAAATTCAGGTTGGCCAGTTGTCAAAGAAATTTTCTGAGAGAGCTCAGGGTACTTTTCCAAGCAACACAGTTGTCAATCCAAGGGAGCATTGCAATGCTATCACCACTAGGAGTGGGATAGTGATTTAGCCTATAGAGGAGCAGCCCGAAGAAAAGAAGAAGGATGGAGAAGCATCAGTTGAAGAAGAGAAGGAAGAAAAGGAAAAGGATACAACTGAAGTTCAAAAAAGCAATCCTGAAAAAGTCGAAAAGAAACTATTCAAGTGGGAGAAGAAGAAAGCTGTAGAAAGACAGAACAAGCCATTGGATCTCTCCCCTTATGCTCGAATCCCTTATCCTCAGAGATTAAAGAAAGATATTCAGAAGCAGCAGTATTCAAAGTTTTTAGACATATTCAGGAAATTGCAGATCAACATCCCTTTTGCTGAAGCTTTAGAGAACATGCTCAACTATGCAAGGTTTATGAAGGATTTATTATCAAGGAAGCGTAAGTTGCAAGAATGTGAGACAATGAATCTGACCGAAGAATGTAATGCTATCATCCAAAAGAAGTTACCTACCAAAGTCAAGTATCTAGGGAGCTTCAGCATTCCATGCACTATAGGCAAAGTGGAAGTGGACAATGTTTTATGTGATCTTGGAGCTAGCATCAATGTCATGCCGCTCTCCATGATGAAGAAGCTAGGGATTACTGAAGTGAAGCCCACAAAGACGATAGTGCAACTGGCTGACCACTCTTCAAAGCAAGCTTATGGCATCATTGAAGACATATTGGTAAAGGTAGAAAAATTCATCATTCCTATTGATTTTGTCATCCTTGACATTGAAGAAGATGCCACAATTCCTATGATTTTTGGAAGACCCTTCTTGGCAACTTCAGGAGCACTGATTGATGTACTAAAAATTGAGTTGATCTTACGGGTAGACAGAGAGCAAGCAATTTTCAAATTCTTTGACAAAGAAGTCCCTTCATCCGTAGCTCAACTGGAAGATCAAGTCTACTTTATTAGTGAAAAAAAAGATGAAGAAGAACACAATGAGGAGTCTTCTCAAGAAAGTAAGCCAAAAGTTAAGATGGAAAAGCCGAGGAGCAAGGGAAAGCATATAAATACCAAATTCAAAGTTCCTGAGACTAGTCTACCTCACTTATATGCACAAGAGCACTATGGGAGGACACACTTTCTGAGTGATGGAGTTTGGTCATCACCAAGCTCATGCTTTGAGCCACCATGAAGGTAAATCAGGTACGTCAGGCTCATGATGTTAAACAAGCGCTAATGGGTAGGCAAACCCACACTTTACTGTTTTATTTTAATTTCACTATTTTAGTTATTTTTACTTTGAATTAAATAAAGAAAAATACAAAAATATAGGAGAAGATATTGAGACTAATGGCTATCATTGAGTGAATTTTACAGGTGAAGAAAAGGGAAACAAGAGAACGACTAGTTGTTTTTTATTTCTCACACGATTTCTTTGTAGATTTAAATCTGTTGTTGAGGACAGCAACATTTAAATCTGGGAATGGTGAACGCGCGATTCATCTAAGCATAATTTAGTAAGCCGGAGGAACTTCATGAGCACACACAGAATATCCGACTAAAACAGAGAACTATCTCAAATCCTTTCTCTTTTGCTTTAGCTTAATTTTTTTTATAATTGATATTTTTTTTAATATTTAGTTTGTTTTGAAAAACCTCAAGCCACTGTTTTTGTGAAAATTTTAAACTTTTCTCAGTGTAAATAAATGGAAGATAGGCGGAAATTTTTTATCAGTAATTGATTCAGAGCATGATGATGCACTTACTTGAATATCTTCATAATGAGCATTAATGTAATGATTTTCATGATTCATTAAATATTCTCTCTTTAGTGATGAAATTTTTTGAGATAAAGAATATGAGAATTACTGTGCATTCATAGTCGTGTGGTTTTGAGCCTATACAGAAAATTTTTATTGAGTGTGCATCCTACTGTATGAAAGACTCTAGAACTTGCTTTGTTTCTTGCTTGAATTGGAATGTGATATATTCTATGGATATGATTGAGGCATGTTCTTTCTTTAAACTAGATGGCCAAATAGCCAACCATTGCTGATATTCCTTAGTTAAACCCCTTTGAGCCTATGCCTCTTTATTTTTTGAAAGCCTATAAAGATGAATAAGCCACTTTCCATATATATCTCACCTTAATTGAGATTAATTTTCAGATTTGAATTGAGAAAAAATGTGTTAATTGTTGATGATATAAATTGTGATGTATGGAAGTACAGGGAAAAAGGCAAAAGCCAAGGAAGTAAGGTTGGTTAGAAAGAAACAAAGAAAAGGAAAAATACTCAGAAAGCGAAAAAGAAAAGAAGTGAAAAGAAAGAAAGAAAAATTGTTCTGAGAAAAGAAAACGACAAACAAGAGAAGAGTTCAAAAGAAAAAGAAAAAGAATGGACTGAAAAGAAGAAAGAAAGTTGATTACAAATTGTAAACGATTACATTTATTCCTCTTTGAATCTGGATTTTAATCTTGCAGCTCATTCTTTAAAAATTTTCTTCCTTTAGCCAGGCCAAGTTATAACCCTAAGAAAGACCTCTTGATCTGTGAGATATGTCACAATACTATGGAGAGCGAGAATATAATCAAGCCTATGGTAGTGTTGATTCAGTAGGGATTCGAGTGAAACACCAACCCTCTAAACATTTGAGCATGAGTGAATTGAAATCCTAGTGAGGGAATGTTTCAGTAAATTTTCTATTATTCTTGATCTTAAGAATTTTATTGCAAATTTTTTCTGATGAATTATGAATCTAATGATTGATGCAGCAATTTTTATAGTTTGAATGCTCTGTAATCATGTCTCTGATGAATCTTTCCTATCAAATTCCATGCTATTGAGATTCCTACTCCATATTCCCTTAGTTTTATTCTGATTGATTGCTGAGGACAGCAATATTCAAATCTGGGAATGTTTGATAAACCTTTAGTTTACCATGTTTTTAGGCTAAATTATACAAGAGTTATGTAGTAGAATGCATGGAATTCAAGGTTTTACAACATATAAAGCATAAGATAGGAAATTGAGCTGACGTTTTGATAATATTTGCATTTCGAAGGTAAAACCACAAGAAATGGTGCTAAAAGTGCTAAAGAAATAATGACAAAGAAGTAGCGGCTCAATATGGGCCAAGGGAAGCCAAAATCTTACAAGTTAAGAGCCAAAAAAGCACGCTCAAGCGCACAAGAGGACTCTTGAGCATTTGAAAGCAGGAAAAGCAGCCAAACTGGGCACAATAGGACGCTCAAGCGCACATATGCACGCTCAAGCACCCAAGAATACAAAAATTCAGACTCGAGGAGCACGCTCGAGCGCCCAGTAGCACGCTCGAGCGCGCTCAGGCAGGCAGCAACAGCAATTTTAAGCAATTTGGCACGCTCAAGCGGCCAACAGCGCGCTTGAGCGCCCAAGCACGTTCCAGACAGCAAAGATTTGTTGAGATTTAATGAAGATTTGCCCTATTGCGATATTCGGAACCAAAACGGAAACAAATCAAAACTGATTTAAAGGAAGTCATGGAGGATTGAAGCAAGATTATAACAGGATTCAGAACTCAAATCTATCAACCAATCTACAAGATATTAATTGCAAAAAGGAAGCAATTGAATAATCAATTACAAATTTGATAAGGATTCGTTGAGAGATACAATAAAGATACAACTCCAATGGCTATACATAAAGAGCTTGGGAGCAGACCAAAACACCAATTCACAAGTCCAGAGCATTACACCAAGACGGAAGGAGGAATTCTGTTGCGGAGCGCTGGAACACTGAGGAACCAAGTCAACATCACATCAATGGAGGCTTGGGGTTCTCTTTTCTTTACTATTGTTTTTCAATTCAGTATGCTAGAGTAGTCTTTTATGTAGTTAAGGGTAGATGGAACTCAATTGAATCTTTATGTTTATGAATTAAATTGTCTTCGAATTCTGTTCTTTTATAATTGAATAAATTATCTGTCTTTATTGCTTTCTAAGAGTTTGCCCCTTATAGAATGATTTTGGGGAATTGTATGACAATAGAGATGTTGGTGCATGAACCCTGATTTGATAAATTTATCACAATCCTTGTGATCTAGGGATAGATATAGGGTAATTGTGCAATCCTGGAATTCTTGATCTTAATGCATGTTTTCTTGGGGAATAATCTTTCAAGATTACATAGATTTATGGTAACAAGGAATTGAGCCGTAATTAACTTAGAAAGAATTGATTGGCAATATATTAAGAAACAGATTCTTGACTGTTTAATTCATAACATATTGAGGATATTGGGGGAAGTCAAAACCTTAACTACGCTTGTTTTACATTTTTAATCAATCATCATCTTTTTCAATTGTCTTTTTAATTCTGAAATTTCTTTAATTGCATCTCATTACTTGTCTTTAATTTTTAAGTTCTTTAATTACAATTCTTTTCATCTAAATTATTGATTGTCCAACTAAGACGCAATTAGCGAACTAGTGCTTGAAGATTCTGATCCTCATGGTAACGATCTCGTACTCCGGTACACTTTATTACTTTACGACCGGTGCACTTGCCGAGTCGCAACACTTAGTTATTGAGAATGTTAACTGACTCTCTAACCAAAGGATTTAGGCCCATGATATTTGAAATGCATATGAAGAACATGTGCATTGTGAGTTGCTTTGATGTGCTTGGTTAGTGGGAGTTTGAGTTCTTTGTTATTTACTTATCATGTTGAGTTATTTATTACAGACATAATTGATATTTGGTTGATATATAAATCTCTTATGGAGCAATTGATAATGCATTGAATTTTGTTATTGTGTATATTTCATATTTGTGTTTGTGTTTATCAATTGTGAAATATTGGGACTCAGTGTCGTTGGGACCACTATGCCTGTGGTTGACACTATATTGGAGTTTGAGACATAATAATAAGATTTTGGAACTCAGTGTTGTTAAGACCACCATGCCTGTGGTTGACATTATATTGGAGTTTGAGGCATGATTTTGGAACTCAGTGTCGTTGGAACCATCATGTCTGTGGTTGACATTATATGGGAGTTTGAGACATAATAGTGTAGTTAGGACTACAGGGCCCGTGGTCGACACCATATTTGATTATATTATGGTTTTTTTATAAACCATGGAATTTCTCTGGCTTTAAGGCATTTGAGAGAAATTTGAGGACTGACAGAGAAAATAGCGGTTTGGCTGTAGTTGGATCACATTGGCATGCTATTTTCTTGCCACACTCCACACTAATGACTAGTCGATGGAGTCAAGTAACATTTGTGACCTTGGAAGGTCTTATATCGGTAATGGTATAATTATCGCCTGATTCAATGTTATTTGATTTAAGTTGGATGGAGTCATATTCAGATATCGCACCTAAGATCATGTGTTTTCTTAAAATGTGGCCACATTATAAGAATTAGTCCTTAGCCCGAGAGTCGTTTTCAAATAACTTGTTTTCCTTTTCTCTTTTAAATTAAAATTTTACAATTGATTTTGCCCAAGTGGGAGAATGTTAGAAATTTTTATAATAATTGTGGGCTTCAATCAATTGTAATTTTTTTTGTTTTAATAAAAACGGGCTAAGTCGTGATCCATATGAGGGTGCAGTATAAAGCAGTTTTAAGAAACCCGGACCGACCCGGGAACCGGTTATATAACTGGTCCGGTTTAAGCAATGGACCGGTCATGCATCAGAACCGGTGCGACCCGGTCTGACCCGGGCAGTTTTCATGAAAACCGATTACCCGACCAGGTCCCAAAAAAAATCATAATAGACATATTTGAATATTTTTTTGTTTATTGACTTACATAAGTAATGTACCTACAACACTAGTATTATCTCAATTATGCACTATTCAAAAAAATTTGATTTGATTTATAGTTAGAGATGTCGTTTTCTGAACCTAAAGTCCCGTATCACGATCATTATATTTTTGTTTGATATTTTATTAGATAATAATATGTGATTTATTATTTTTTATATTAAAATATTTGAAATTTTTATCATTTTTTTAGATATCAGAGTATGTTTATAATTTTTTAATATAAATTAAAATTACATATAATTACTGGGTCATGCGGTTGAACCAGTGACCCACTGGTTGAACCAGTGACCCAGTACCTCAACCGGGTAAATGACCGGGCCGGTTTTAATAACATTGGTATAAAGCAATGTTATAAAAACCGGACCGACCCGGCCGGGTCGACCCGGAAACCGGTGAACCGTCATGTAACCGGTCTGGTTTTCATATTGGACCGGTCATGTTACAGAACCGGTGTGACCCGGCCGATTTTCGTAAAAACCAGTGACCCGGTCGGTTCAACCGGTGTCCCGGCCCGGTCTATAAAAAAAACTAATTTATTTTCATAAATTAATGTCTTTTTTTTTTACTCTAAAACACAAATAATTTGTTTTCTTTTGAAATATTTGAGTGATTTGTAGCTTATTAACTTACATAGATTATGTACCTACAACACTAATATTATCTTGATTATGCAATATGCAGAGAATTTTGATTTGATTTATAGT